GACTCTATGTGGGGCTGTGTTCTGACTCTATGTGGGGCTGTGTTCTGCTCTGTTGTCTCGTTGTCAAACGTTAATCTGCTGATTTCATTTTTGTGTCTAGAATAACATTGCAATGCTGCTGGAAGCCAATTACCGAGAAAGATTACTGACAGTATACAACGAAGTGAAGAAAAGGCTGGACTATCAGGTGGCTCTGCAGAACTTAAAGCGTCAGAAAGAGCAAGATCACATGGTTCAGTGGGTGGAGAAGAGCGTTATTCAGAGCATCACGCCTCAGCAGGTATTGGTGTTTGCTGTTGGCTTTCATCTGTGTTATGTTTTAGCCTGTAAGCATTTTGCTGTCCAGTCCTTCTGAGTCAAAAAATGCCAGATGATCTGGGTGGCTTGCGGGCACAGCAGTGATGCGTTCTGCTGCTGTGTGAGAGCTAACAGCTCTCCCACATGTAGATACAAGGTGTCTGTGCTGGCTGTGAAGTGAGCAAGTCGTTGATTTTGTTTACTCTTGCAGCACAGAGCTAACCCTGCAGTAAGGGCACACCAGGGAACTGTCTTCTAAAAGTCCCTCTCTAAGAGCAGGATGGCTGAAGATCCCCAGATGGACTCTGGATGCCCTTTCTTTAAGGAATGAACCTGATAACAATGAAATATGTACAGGCAGAGCTAGAAATATGGCAGATCACTGCTTGGATATGAATCTCGCCTTATAAGCTACATAGCATTGTACCTTTCAGTCTGTAACTCATTTTGAATGTCTAAAGGGAAAATAAAAAGTGCACTACGTACGTGCTTTGCTTGTTTAGCTTCTCTACATAAAGGCTTTGTACTGAAAATGTTTTGTTTTTCTTTTGCAGCAAAAGGAGAGCATTGCAAAGTGCATTTTGGACCTGAAGGCACTTTCAAAGAGCGCCCAGGTGGCGGCGTAGCCACGTAGCACCTGATTCCTCTGAGGTGTCCCATTACTTGTTGGAAACTCTGATTGTAAAATGTCATTAAAACCAACCAACAAAAATATTCGCTGTCTTTGACTGTGATTTCTGTATGTGTGTGTTTGCAGTAGATGATAGTGGGGCATTACTTCCAACCACAGCTTTGTTTTGTTCCTGGTTCAGTTGCTAACCTTTCTGGAGATGAGATGCTGACTCTCACTGTGGTGCTGACACACTGGTGAATTTTGTTTTAATTCAGAACTACCTGTACAAATGCCCTATGGTTATTTTTGTTAACGTGTTTTAAAATCACAATGGCTGCTGGTCTTCCCACTCACCCAATGAGATGCTTGGAGCTGGTGTCCTCAGTTCATAGGCAAACAAACAAACAAAGAAGTAACAAAGCTTTAAATAATTACAAAAGCTTCTTATTCTGCAGAGAAGAGAATATGACTGGCAGGAAACATCAGAAGATGATAAAGCTCAGCTTCTGCTGAATTTACCAGCATACAGATTAGAACAGTAGGATTGATAAGTGTGCCCTGGAGGGACTGATGCACCTTTTGTACATGGACTTTTACATCCTTTTTCACTACAACAGCTCAGAGAAAAAGGTGTTCTTTGGAGGTGAGGCACTCCTAAAGGCAGAAGTCGCCCACCTTCAGGTAAAGGTGACTTTTTTTTTCTCCCCCTGGCATTTCCTGGCAGTAAAGGTTCCTCATCGTTTCCTGTTTAAAAAGAAAAAAAAAAAAAGTGAAGTTACTCAACTTCCACATTGATGTCTCATTTGAGTTGAAGCTTACTGGTGCTCTCACAAGCTGGACACAAAGTCTTGTGTTCTTTTCACAAAGGCAGCACGTAGTGCTGTGCAAGCAGTGCCAACACTACTGGAGTTTCCAACAGGCAGCTGTTGCACGGTGTGAGGTAAGGTGAAGCTGTACCTCAACATTGCTTCTGCTATTGCAAATGCAATGGACTTTGAGATCTGACATGGGGATTGGAGCTGGCTGTTGGGGTATGCAAGAGAAAAAGGTGACAGTAACAGTGAGGACAGTTTATTTTGTGTTGTGAGCAATAGCTGGATGTTGTTTGCAGTGTGTAGTTTGAAAACCATATAATGAGAGACCAGGCTGGGAATAGCCCAGTAAAACTCTATTTCCCCATCTTCACGCTTGCACCTCCTGAATTTGAGAATAATGTTTTAATTTGGAACTTCCTGTGAGTGTAACTTGAGAAAAAATTGTTCCTTCAGGTTTTTCCTATCCGTGCTTCTGATACAGAAGCTCAGAAGCTTCTTTCATGAAGTTCACTCTGTTTTAGCTATATGGTGCTGGGGATATTTTTTAGTCCAATATGAAATACACCCCATCATTTCGAGAGGAGACTCTGTGCTTAACAAGGGTGCTGGGTGTGTGTGCTCTTGGAGGCAGGAGTGAGATGTTGAGAAGCCAGGCTCGTGCTCTGTTTATTGCCAGATTTCCTGCTGTGGTTTCATGCGAGTTTGTGTAAGAAGCCCAAAACACTGACACAAGTGAAATCGAGCCTGAGGTGTGAATGAGAACGCTGGGTTTGTGTTGTGTACGTGTGTGTAAATGCAGCTGTCCTCTCATCTTTAGGTTCTCTTGCTGTTCACCGGTGTTTGGAGAGAATGGGAAGTTCCTCCTCAAAATCAAAACCAGGTATTTCATTTGATTATTGCTATTATTTTTTAAGGAGTTCCATCAGATCCAGTGCTCTCGGCTACATCACTGCTTTCCTGGCTCAGAAAGGGTTGTTGGGGGGCAGCTTTGTGGATAAACGTATTTGGGGAAGTACTGCACAGCTTCCAAAGGCTGCTGGGGAGCAGTGGTGGTGTGGATCACTGCTGTTTTTCTGCCTGGTGTTTCCACTTTCAGCCCTCTAGTACAGAAATGTTATGCTTACAACACTTCTTGCAGTCATTCTTGAATAGGTTCACACTTCCAGGAGGTGGTTTGCTTGTTACTTGTAATAGTACTTGTAATAGAAATATTAACACATTTAAACTCTTTTTCTAATTATTTTCAGTTGCACCAGTGCCCATTTCCACCACTGTCACAGTACATACCACTGTACAGACCTCTACTGCTGCCTTACCAGACTCAGAAGGCGAATCCTTGTTTGACAAGTAAATGCTACACCTTTATTTCTGAACTTTGAACACCAAGTTCCTTGAAACGACAAGCCCTTTCTATAGGGAAGAAGTTACACATAATGTCCCATGTTTTTACAAGTTGGCTTAGAATTTCCTAGCCTGTGCTCAAGGTACTCAGTAATTCTTACTGCAGGTATCTTGTAATCTCCTGGGGCTTGGCAATAGGATGTTTGATAACCTTGGTTGAATTTGAAAGCTACTCATTCTTTGATATTTCTGTAAGAATGTGATTCTGACTCTGTTTCCTGTGCATCAACAGCCCTGACATATCCTACTTCGCATTGGCCTTTATCTCTGGCATCCTGTCAACTCTTCTGGTGGTTGCAGTTGTCTGCCTCATCAGGAAAAGTAAGTGGCACAGTCAAGGAAATGCCAGCAGCATGGTTCTTGGGTTTCCAAATTGCTTGGTTTGCAGTGAAGATTGCAACAGATTTCAGGTCGGATTGCCCAGCTGTCAGCTGAGAGGGAACTGTACAATTGGCTGGTGGAATATCACAGCCAATTCCTCTTTCTGTGGTACAAAGGACAAGAAAGCATAACTCAGTGCCTTGCAGTGAAGGGGGAGGGGAGGAATAAATTGTCTTGCATGCAGGGCAGTCTGACCCACTGGGTCCTAATTGCTCCCTAGTTCTGTAATTAAAACATCCTGGTTGTGAGTCTTGACAAAGAGCAGGAGTTCTGTTCTGTTACCTTTAAACAACCATCAGGGAGAGCAGTGTGGACTAAGAACTTGTTCCAAAGATAACAGCTGCACCACCCGGCTAATCCCACTCTGCTCTCCTCCTTTCTAGGGTATAAGAGATCCCAAGAAAACCTACAAGAACAAATTCCCTCCAAGACACAACGTGAGGAATCTGCTGAAAACATCCAGGTAAAGGTCAAAACTACAATTCCTGGGGCTGCTCAGTTTCCATGGCGTTGAGGTCAAAATCGAAGCAGGACATTTGTCCTGAGATGTTACATTTGCGCTTTCTCTGATATTTATAACCTCTCATATCCCAGAATGAGGTTTTTTATGCCTCTGTGGTCATCAAGCCCCAACCGAAAGCAGCGCCTGTGTGACAGTGGAATTTGACACATGAACACCTGCACCTTGTGCATGCTGGATGCCATGGGATTGGTGCACGGAGGACGGCGGTGCTCTGCGAGGTATCCAGGCTGCAGTACATAACATCAGCTAAATTCATAGCTAGGAGGGGAAAACAGCATCTCCAACTCTACAACTCTCGCCAACACTGGGGACAAATTGCTTTGTACACCACCTTCCCTCATCTGGAGCAATCCTGGTGACACAGCTTGTTGCACAGTTTCCGTGTGGGTTTCCGCTTTTGCTTGGAACTGCTGAGGAGAACTGAAAAACAGAAGTGTTTCTCTGCACCTGTCCACATCTGTGCCCTTATTTCCCTGTTCAGTCACTGGCTGCAGCATTTTTGATAAGAGCGCCCAACGCTTTGATTGAAGCACTGAATTACATCATGATGCACCGCTGCGGGGCAGCACCGAGCAGCCGCCGGAAACACCGGAGCAAAGTTTGATCCGCGTTATTCTAAGGTGTAACGTTTTGTGCTTTCTGTTCGTTTGTTTTCGCCTGCTGAAAGCAATCGGTTCCATCTACTGACAGCGGTCACGTCGCCAAGCTGTGATGCACTCGTGCAGTGACTTCCTTTGCCAGCTGCTTTGTGAAGGGTGGGACCGGGTAACGGGGTGGGTTTGGGCAGCAGCAAGGATTACATCAGATGTTGAACTAAGATCTCTGATCTTTGTTAAAGGAGCAGGCACTGTGTTTATGTAGCTTACTGAGCTACAGAACAGAATGATGCACTCCCCTTTGTTTTTTTTTTCCTAGACCACTTTTACCGTGCAAAGATGGAGGAAAAAGAGACTTGCCTTTAATTGCCTGTGTTCAGTTTAACTCCCTGAAACTCAGCTGTGCTATAGCATCTACTGCAGTTTTGGAGCTGTTGGGACACCTGCTAAAACAGAGCAGGGATTTCATGCAGCCCGTTGACTTTGCATAAAATCCACTTAATATTTATTATCCTTAATGGAAGCATGGCAGCACTGAGTGCAGCACAAGCTGACCAGACTTCATCTGATCATCGAAATGGACAGGAGATGATGGGTGTAAGAGGAGGCAGTGAGGACATCCTGCACCGCAAGCATTTATCCTGTTTCTCAGTGCACCCAGACAGTTGTTATGGGAGGGGGGAAAAAAAAGGACAAAATTAATCTTAACCCTTTTCTGTATTTTGAAACGACATGATACAGACATAAGACATGTATGTAGTGACCCAGGGGGTGGGGACAGGTCCTGGTGAAGTCTTTCATTTGCAGATGGAGGTCTCATGCGATGCTGTGACTGCACTTGTGCTGCTGGAGCGAAACGTCGGTGCAGGTGTGGTTATGTGCAAGTAAAGAGAAAGCAAAATGCTGACCAAAAGACTTGTTGTGCTTGAGTTAAAGCTAGAAACTAGCAAGAACTGTTGCATTATTTCTTACTGCCTGTGGATTGGAGCTGGAAGTAAAAAGTCCATCTTGGTAACTGTGCTTTGGGTCATAGTCTGCCAAGCAACACTCAAGTCAGTAAACATGAACCAGAAGGTGCTCTTAAAGGCAGGTGCTTACCTGAGAAGGTCAGGGCTTGGTACAGCAACAACCAAGCCAGATTTACTGGGTTATAATAATATAAAAGTTTGCAAATTAACTTTGGAGCTTAATGTCATATGGGAATCAGTGTGTGAGGAGCTTGCTCTTATCGCCAGCTTGTGTCAGGCAGCAGATGAACAGGACGTGTTTTTCCCATGAGTTCCTGAAAGCATTTTATCAGTGGTCTGGTGTGTGCTGGTGGGTCAACGTTCATTCTGTGTCTATGACAGCTGCTGTGTTTAATCTGTAAGAGCTGAGTCTGGCTTCGGGCTTTTTTCTGCATAGGATGTAGGTCCTTAAAATTAAAAGGTAAGTGGTTTTGAACTTCTTTATCTTGCAAGCATAGACAATGGGGTTTATGGCAGAATTGGCATGAGACAACAAGATTCCCAAGAAGATCCAAGGCTTAGGAATCTTATATTCAGGGTGAAAGTACAAAATGCAGTTCATGATGCACAGAGGCAACCAGGACACAGCAAACAGGAACAGAACGAGTGCCAGAGATTTGGCTTTCCTGAACTCCTTCCCATAGAACACTCCCACCCCCCTCCCGTTGGTTGCTCCTTGACTTAGCTTTGTCCTGATGATGTAAAATACTGCCACGTAGAGAGCACACATGGTGCTCAGAGGGATAAGAGTCCACGTGAAGAATGAAAAATACACCATGTAATCCATCCTCATCACAGAGATAAATTCACACGTGTGATAGCGGGCGCTTCTTCGTTTGTTCCATCCAAACATTGGGGTTAATCCCACCAGCAGGGACAGAGACCAGCACAGCCCCAGCGCCCACCAAATCCTTCTCTCTGTAGACATTATTTTATATCTGTTGAGGAAGAAAATCGAGGCCACATTGAACAGAAGTGTTTTAAAATACTTATGGATGATTTCAGTAACTCATGTTCAAAAACTCAAGGTTTATTATGATCAACCAGCTTGCTTTTTTTTCTTTTTTTTTTTTTTTTTTTGGAAGGAAAACCTTGTTTTGTTATGAGCCATAACTCTTCACTGTAACAGTCATGAAAGACGAACTATGTTTAACTTCCCTTCTTTGTGGCTGGCTGCTGTTTTATTTCTTGTTTCATTAAGATCTCAGTGCTCCTTGACACACTGCCACAGGTTGCCCAAGGAGGCTGTGGATGCCCCATCCCTGCAGGCATTCAAGGCCAGGCTGGATGTGGCCCTGGGCAGCCTGGGCTGCTGGTTGGTGACCTGCACACAGCAGGGTGGTTGGAACTGGATGAGCATTGTGCTCCTTTGCAACCCAGGTCATTCTGTGATACTACTTGTATTTCCACTGCTAGTGATCCTATTCTATTTCTCAGCTTCCTTGCATGCACCTTACTCTTTATGTTGGTTCATTCTATTTGTAAGGCCAAAGTGCTTTTTCACTTTTCAACATACAAGTCTTCTCCCCACAAAAACATGTTTCTTTTATGCCTGCAGTTATGCTTTCTGTATGTCTTTCCATTCAAACCTAGAAAAGGAAAGCCTTCATAAATCTTCATTATTTTCAGGCGACAGTAAAAGCGAACGTATTTAAAAGATTACCCTCAGAAACCCAAAGAAATCTGTAGTGCATTTGGCATCTGCATAACAACCCATTGAACCATGAGCTCACCTGATGGGCAGCTTCACACGCAGGTAGCGGTCGATGGCGATGGCCAGCAAGGAAAGGATGGAGGCTTGGGTGAAGACCACCATGAGGCAGCAGAGGAAGAGGCAGAAATGGAACGGGATGCTGACATGCAGACTGACCAACACGGCCAGCGGGATGACGACCAACCCCACTGCAATGTCAGCCAGCGCCAGGGAGGCGATGAAGTACATGGTGGTGTTGTGGAAGGCTGCATTCAGCTTCACCGCCCAGACCACCGGGATGTTCCCCAGGGCAGCGAGCAGAGCCACCAGGCACTCAGTGCCAATGTAGATCGCATCCGTGCTGCCCATCACCTGGCTGATGTTGAGGGTTCCATTGGTGGGGCTGCTGCTGGCTGGGCAGTCGGGTGGGCACATGGGTGCCGGCGGTCTCTGTGGCACCCGCAGTGCTGCTGTGGGTTGTCTCTGTGCTTCCCCGGTGTGTGAATGTCCTCCAGAACTTCACATCCTCAGCGCTCAGCAGTAAATCAGCTGTTGCCCGTCCCAGAGTTCAGGAAACATTCTTCGTTTTGGACACCGCTGCTCACCGCAGCCTTTCCCAAACTCTGTAGCTTTCACGTTCTTTAGAAAGGTGTTTGGAAATGGAAAAAAGAAAAGGAAAAAAAAAGGGAAAGCTCTCCTAGGGCTGCTCACCAGCAACCCAAAACCAAATGTGACCAGTAGAAGGAAGCAGATAAGGCAGTTTTAGAAGTGAGAGACCTGTACTCGGAACTGAGTGTGCAATGCTGCCTCTATCAATGCGGGTAATCGCTCTGTGGTCGCTTTAGGAAATGATGCAGCTTATAGGGTGCTTTGCTGCATTCCAGACCTTCCTCGGTGTGGCATTACTATAGTGAGTGATGTTTACAAGCAGGAGCCCTCAGTTCCAGTAGAAGCCCATGGGACCACCAACTCAACCTTGTTGTTGGCCTGCCCCAGGGTGGTTGGTGCCAAAAGGCCTCCTTGTACAATCAAAAGGGACAGCAAGGCCAGGGTTAGGTCATGGAACACAGAACAGACAGCGGGCAGCACAGGGCTGTGTATGTGGAAAGCATTGCCTCCAGCCACAGCAACCTTATCTCTGCCATCTCTGGCATAGCCAAGGAAGTGAAGTTGGCAAGAGGCAGAGTCAGAAATAAAGAAGACTTCTTCAATTCTCTTCTGTGAAATGGGCTGGCTTCCTTGAAACGTGTAAGTACCCCAAGCTCCCCGAATGGAAGGTGTGTTGTTGCCATTACTGCTGAGGAAAATGCAAAGAGGAACCTCTCTGGAGTGGTCCCAGTCTGCACATGGGCTTGGGACTGGTTTTCTAACAGGAGCTGACAGCTGTGGGCACAGCAGATGAATGCCAGCAGTGGCATGTGCTGGGTTTGCAGCCTGAATTGCTTCTCCAATCAGCTGGTGCTGTGCAGCTGTGAGCAGGGGACAAACACATCCTGGTGGTTGGGTATGAGCTGCTGCGTCACCTCTGTGGCTGACCTCCTCCTCATGTCTCCTGCTGCCCAGGCTGTCGGGGCCTTAGCGGAGCCACCCTCCTCTGGTGTCAGCTGCAAACAGACAAAAAAACACTCAGTGCTGCATGGGACCGAAGCGAAAGGTTTGTTTTAAGCCATCCATTCTGCCTCATGGCTGTGAAAAATGATCCTCACCTCACATGGGTACCCAGGGCACACTGCACAGGAGGCTCCTTTCGGATGCTGTGGAGAAACAGCAAGGCTTTGTGCTTTCTAAAGGCACACCATAGCACATCACCTTTCAGTGATGGTGCTGCATAACACCGTTTGGGGTTTTCCATCCCCAATGGCAGCCCAGGGCAGCGCTGTCAAACCCATCTGAACTGCACCTGCCCCAGCTGGGGCCAAACCGGGCCGCTTCCACCCCCACACATCCCTGTTTCTGTAGGGAAGGTGAAGGGTGCGTTCATTTCCAGATGCTTCCTGCAGCAGCAGCATCTGTTTCCTGCCCAGAGCTCTACACCCTGCCAGGGAGACGAGTGGTGCTCCTGCCCAGGGCCAGGCTGTATGGGGGCACACAGTGTGTATGTACTGCTATGGCACATCATCCTTCTGCTAGTTGATGTGGTTGGAGTGTTCGGACCCCTTTGCTGCTAAATATGGTGCATTGTGTTTTATAAAGGTAGCTGGGATCTGAAGCAGCCTTCCTGCACTGATGAAACTGGCAGCAGGAGAAGCTCTGTGCAAGAAACATTGGGGTCGGCTACACAGGATCCCCTTCTTGTTCCCCCACTACCCTGCAGCCCCATGCAGGATAAGCTCACGCTGAGCCCTGCAGAAACTCAGCCCTGGCTTTGCTGCTGCACAGAAAGCATCTGGAGTAGGTTTGTGAGCCAGCAATCTAAGGCTTTGTTTGAGATTAGGATTCAGACGTG